GTGCTGCTGCTGCTGCTGCTGCTGCTGCTGCTGCTGCTGCTGCTGCTGCTGCTGCTGCTGACCTGGGAAGCCTCGCTGCAGTTGAGGATTTCTTTGTTTTCCATGACCCAAGTGATGATGCAGTGGCTTTGGTGCAGCTGCATGCGCAGCGCTTTGCCTTCTCCGAAGACAGCCTTCGACCACACTTCGTCGCGGCTCGGGTCGTACACAAACAACGCAGCCTGCAGCAGCAGCAGCAGCAGCAGCAGCAGCAGCAGCAGCAGCAAAAGCAGTGGCAGCAGCTCATGAGTTAGGGTGAGGATATGCTCTCATGGGACCGGCATGCATGCAAGCATGTAGTGCTTAGAAAGCTCGTGGCTAGCTGCAGGATTATCTAGCTAGCTAGTCCGCTAGCTAGCTAGCCAGTTAGCTAGTTAGCCAGTGAGCTAGCTAGCCAGCTAGCTAGCTAGCCAGTTAGCTAGCTAGCTATCTGGACCTCTAGCTAGCTGCCTAGCGTGCTAACTTGCTAGCTGACAAGGCCTCTAGTCAGCTAGCTAGTAGCTAGCTAGCTAGCTAGCTAGAGAGCTAGCTAGAGAGCTAGCTAGCTAGCTAGCTAGAGAGCTCACCCTCTCGCAGTGGAAGAGTTTGGGGCCGTCGATTAAGACTGTCTCGAAGATTGTGTCGAGCTGTACATACACCCCACGTGAGCAGCAGACAAAGCCACAGACGGTCAGCTAGCTAGCAGCTAGCTGTTACTGCAGCAGCTAGCTGTTCCTGCAGCAGCTAGCTGTTCCTGCAGCAGCTAGCTGTCGCTAGCTGCTGTCTGTAGTTAGCTGCTGCCTGTAGCTAGCTTCCGTCTGTAGATAGGCGCTGTCTGTAGCTAGCAGCTAGCTGCAGCTAACTGCTAGCTGTAGCTAGCAGCTAGCTGTGGCTAGCTGCTGCCTGTAAGCTAGGCAGGCAACTAGCTAGCTAGACAGGCAGCTAGCTAGCTAGGCAGACGGCTAGCTAGCTAGAAAGGTAGCTATTTAGCTGGGCCAACAGCTGGCTAGCTAGACAGGCAGCTAGCTAGCCAGGCAGGCAGCTAGCTAGCTAGGCAGACGGCTAGCTAGCTAGCCAGGCAGCTAGCTAGCTAGGCAGACGGCTAGCTAGCTAGCCAGCTAGCTAGCTAGAAAGTCCTAACCTGCTGCTGGTGCTTCAGCCTCTCGGCCTTGTCCAAGTCCAGCACCAGCAGCTGCAGCATTCCCAAAAGGCAGCCGCAGCAAACCCCAGCAGCGGCACCCAGCGTCTTGGCCACTCTGTGCGCAGCAGAAACAAAAATAAAAATAATAATAAAAATAAAAATAATAAATAGTAATAATAATAATTGTAATAATAATAATAATAATAATAATAATAATAATAATAATAATCATAATCATAATCACATCCTGCGCGGCAGCAGTTCGTGCGCGCAGCAGCTGCTGCTGCTGCTGCTGCAGCAGCAGCAGCAGCAGCAGCTGCTGCTGCAGCGGCAGTTGATGCTGCTGCTGTTGCGGCTGTTGCTGCTGCTTAGGCCACTATCGCTGCTGCCTCTGCTTGAGTCTCTGCTACAACTACTGCCCTTGCAGTGCTGCAGCTTCTACTGCAGCATCTACTGCAGCAACTGCTGCAGCACCTGCTGCAGCAGTTGCTGCAGCAGTTGCTGCAGCAGCTGCTGCAGCTTCTGCTGCAGCATCTGCCTTAGCATCTGCTTCAGCATCTGCTTCAGCTTCTGCTGCAGCTGCTGCTGCAGCACCTGCATCAGCAGCAGCACCATCTGCCCAGCACCATCCCCACCACCAGCACCATCACCATCACCATCACCAGCACCAGCAGCAGCAGCAGCAGCAGCAGCAGCAGCAGCAGCAGCAGCAGCAGACCCGAAGGCCGCGGAGGCGCGCTGGGCCGGGCTGAGGAGGGGGGCGGGGACTCCGAGGCGGCTGGCGAGGGACTCAATGGAAGAGCCGAAGAGAACTCCTGCGGTGTCACTACACAGCTGCCCCACTGCAGCAGCAGTCAGCGTCGCCAGCCCGAACTGCACCCCCAACGTCGTGTCCAGCAGCTGCAGCAGCAGCAGCAGCAGCAGCAGCAGCAGCAACGCAGCAGCAGCACAGGCAGCAGCGGCAGCACAAGCAGCAGCGGCAGCACAAGCAGCAGCGGCAGCACAAGCAGCAGCGGCAGCACAAGCAGCAGCAGCACAAGCAGCAGCAGCGAAGCAGCAGCAGCAGCAGCAGCAGCAGCAGCAGCAGCAGCAGCACAAACAACAGGGGGAGAGCGACATGAAAGGCTGGTGCAGTAAGCTGCCGCTGCAGCTGCATGCAGCAAAACATGAATTGTGCATATCGACGTGCTGCACCTGCATGCATGCAAGTGTGCATGCATGCAAATATGCATGCATATTGCATGCAAATTGCATGCGTTTTGCATGCATTTTGCATGCATTTTGCATGCAAATTGCATGCAATTTGCATGCAATTTGCATGCATTTTGCATGCATTTTGCATGCAATTTGCATGCAGACTTACGTCTCCAAGGCGAATCATTATCAGCTGGTCCATCAGCCCAAAGCCAACCATTGGCAGCGCAGCAACTCCAAAGACATGCCACACTTCGCGCCAGCTCAAGTGCCCAGCCTGCTGCTGCTGCTGCTGCTGCTGCTGCTGCTGCTGCTGCTGCTGCTGCTGATTGTCATGGTGATTGTGGTGGCGGTCATGCTGCTTTCCGCTGCCTCCCGTGGCACCACCTAGTGTACCAGCCCCCAGGGGATAAAGCTGCTGCTGCGGCTGCAGCTGCTGCTGTCGCTGCTGCTGCTGCTGCTGCGGCTGCTGCTGCTGCTGCTGCTGCGGAAGTGGGGAAGGGCAATCTTGGGAACTAAGGGGACCCTCCTCAGGCAGCTCGTGCTGCTGCTGCGAATGCTGCTGCGAATGCTGCTGCGAATGCTGCTGCTGCGAATGCTGCTGCTGCGAATGCTGCTGCGAATACTGCTGCGAATGCTGCTGCGAATGCTGCTGCTGCGAATGCTGCTGCGAATGCTGCTGCTTGGTTGCAAGTGAAGAACGTGCAGCAGCAGCAGCAGCTGCTGCTGCTGCAGCACGCGCTGCATCGCATTGAGTACCAAAGTAAGAATGGGGAAAGCGCGAGCTCCACAGCCTTTGTGCTGCATTTAGCTGCTGCTGCTGCTGCTGCTGCTGCTGCTGCTGCTGCAGCTGCTGATGAAGCAGCAAGCCGCAACGACTCAGAGCGGCGTCATTGTTGGCACGATATCCATGTACAACAGGAACCACTGATCTGCTGCTGCTGCTGCTGCTGCTGCTGCTGCTGCTGCTGCACTCACTTGACAGCAGGCAGCCCCCGTCGGCGCTGACCTCCCCGCCCTTTCTGCAGCTTTTCCTACTGACTTTCAAATATCTGCTGCTGCTGCTGCTGCTGCTGTTATTGCTGCTGCTGCTGCTGCAGAACGCGCTGAATAAAGTGACTCCGAATGGCGATCTGTTGCTGCAGCTGCTCGCTAAGCTGCTGCTGTTGCTGCTGCAGCAGTAGCAGCAGTGGCAGCAAAGGCAGGAAAGATAGCTCCCACTCTTGGCGCTTGTGCTGCCCCTGCTGCTGCTGCTGCTGCTGCTTCTGCTGCCGCTGCTGCTGCTCTGATCTGACGCAGGTTGATGCGCAGCAGCAGCTTGCAAGGAAGCAGTCAGTTTCCTACGTGGCAGCGGTGGCCGTGTTTCTGCTGCTGCTGCTGCTGCTGCTGCTGCTGCTGAGGCTGCTGCCCTTACTGATGCAGCCTCACCTGGCGCTGTAGCTGCTGCTGCAGCTGCTGCTGCCGCTGCTGCTGCGGAAGTCGACACTACCTCGTGTCTCACGCATGCTGCAGCAGCAGCAGCAGCAGCAGCAGCAACAGGAGCAGCAGCAGCAGGAAAATGGACACAACAAAGCCGCCGTGGCCTGAGGCGTGGGGCCCCAGCCAGAGCAGCAAAAGGAAACAAAAATCGGCGCGTCATGATCCGCCTGTTGCTGCTGCTGCTGCTGCTGCTGCTGCTGCTGCTGTTGCTGCTGCTGCGGGTCTAGGTCTCAAGCAACAGCAGCAGCAGAAGCTGCGGCTGCTATCGCAGGTGCTAGTTATGAGCAGTTGGACACGAGGCCAGGAAAAAATGGAAAAAAAGGGCCCCGGTGCTGCTGCTGCTGCTGCTGCTGCAGCTGTTGCTGCTGCTGCTGCTGCCGCTGCGGAGGCGGCGGAGGCGGTCTAGTCTATACAGTGAAGCGGCAGCAATCTTGCTGCTGCTTCTGCTGCTGTTGCTGCTGCTAGTGCTGCTGCTGCTGGTGCCACTCATAAGGCGGCGGATCCATTGTTGCCCAGCCAGCCAGTCAGTGACTGTCTGCTTCAGGTGCTGCTGCTGCTGCTGCTGCTGCTGCTGCCGCTGCTGCCGCTGCTGCCGCTGCTGCCGCTGCTGCCGCTGCTGCTGCTGCTGCTGCTGCAGCTAAACTAGAGACGAGTCAAGGCCACTGAGGGACCCTCCGTTCTCTCGGAGGGTTCCTTTGACTGTCTACACATTTTAAGGGAGCAGCGGCCCTACCCAAGTGTTGCTGCTGCTGCTGCTGCTGCTGCTGCTGCTGCAGATGATTCAGCTGCCGACGCTGCCGCCGCTGCTGCTGCTGCTGATCAGGCAGCTGCCACTGTTGGCCCTTCTGCTGCCACTGCTGGTGAGTCGACCAATTGCCTGCATGCAGCAGGTCTTGCTGCAGTTCAGTGCCAGGAGCAGCAGCAGCAGCAACAGCAGCAGCAGCAGCAAAAAGCGGGCGGCGGCTTGAGAAGGTTGCAGTTCAAAGGCTGGTCCCGTCAGTACCTTCTTCTGCTAAGCAGTAAGTCACTGGCTCTCTGCTGCTGCTGCTGCTGCTGCTGCTGCTGCTGGTGCTGCTGCAGAAGGCAGTGTGACTTCTTGAGGTGTACGTACACTGCGGCGAGCCGCACCGGCCAACATGCAGCACCAGCAAAAGCAGCAAAGAAAGAAAGTGGAAAATAATAATTAAAGATAATAATAAATATAATAAATAAATGATATTCTTAATGCAGCGAGCCCTAAGGCCTGCAGCCGGCCCGGCCCGCCCTGCGCCTCCGGGTCTGCTGCTGCACTGTGCTGCTGCTGCTGCTGCTGCTGCTGCTGCTGCTGCTGCTGCTGCTGTGTTGTTCTTGCTGGTTTTGTTCAGTGGCTCTTCTGGGCTGACAGAAGATCCCGCAGGCGGGCTGATGGAAGCCAGAGCCGCCGCCGCTGCTGCTGCTGCTGCTGCTGCTGCTGCTGCTCGCCGCGCTGTTGCTGCTGCTGCCGTCTCGCTGGCTTTGTTGCTGAGACACAGACAAAGAAGAGCCTGCGGCTTTTGCTGTTTATCCCAACGGCAACTCCTGCTGCTGCTGGTGCTGCCCCTCCTGAGGCTACTGGCTGCTGCTGCTGCTGCTGCTGCTGCTGCTGCGGCTGCAGCAGCGAGGCTCACGGCGGCTGCCACTGAGCGGCTGGGAGCGGGCGGCCGCTGCAGCAGCAGCAGCGCAGCAATTGTGTCTTTTATTCTTTTTTAAAGTTGCAAATATATTTTAATTTTAAAAAAATAAAAAGAAATACTTAAAAGCTGAATAGCCCCGCAGACAGCAGCAGCGCAGCGGGCGGCCGCGCGAGAGCCACTGCAGCAGCCAGCAGAATACTGCAGCAGCACGAGCAGCAGCAGCAGCAGCAGCAGCAGCAGCAGAACGCTTCAAAATCACTCAAATATGGCCTTTTTGGTCTTTTTAAATATATTTAATTCCAATTTATTGCCAAGTTTTAAATATAATAAAACAAAAGACCAATAGGGGGCCCCTGGGGCCCCTGCCAGATCTGCTGCACCAGCGGTCACCTCGCTGCCCACGCCGCTGCGGTGAGCAGCAGCAGCAGCAGCAGCAGCAGCAGTAGCAGCAGCAGAAACAACCACAACAGCAGCAGCAGCAGCAACAGCAGCAACAGCTGTTGCTGCTGCTGCAGCAGCAGCAGCAGCAGCCAGGGTCACCTCGCTGCGGGTCACCGCGTGGGTTTGCTGCTTTTGTCTTTTTGCATTTAATTCATTTAAATAAATTTATTTTTTTCTTTTTTGTCTTTTCACTTTTCCCCAGCTTTGCTGCTGCATGCATGCATTTGAAACAGTTGGCATTTCATAAGTACTTTCAGCAGCAAAACAATAAATAAATAAATAAATAAATAAATAAATAAATAAATAAATAAATAAATAAATAAATAAATAAATAAATAAATAAATGAGGCAAATATTAATTTGGATTATAACAGATTTGAGTGCAAATAAAAATGCTGCATAAACTTTTATCCTTTTGCTGCTCCCTTAAATCGCTGAGTGGCTCTGCTGCTGCTGCTGCTGCTGCTGCTGCTGCTGCTGCTGCTGTAGCTGAGGTAGCTGCTGCTGCTGCTGCTGCTGCAGCTGTTGCTGGCGCTGCAACTGCTGCTGCTGCAGCAGTTGCAGAGCAAGAGCGGCGACGCGAGAGTACGTCTGCTGCTGCTGCTGCTGCTGCTGCTGCAGCAGCAAGAAGAATTTGAGGCAGCTGCTGCTTTCTTTTGCTGCTGCACCAAACTATAAAAACAATTTCTACAAATTCTTTTTAAAATTAATTTGTGAAGAAATATTTAAAATGGCATTTGCAAAAAAACATTTTTTAAAATATAAATAAATGCATAAAGCCTTTAAGAACTTTTAAAAAACAAAATTCCATTTTTTAATTAAAAAGAACTGCAGCAAGTGCCAATTTGCTGCCAAAAAAATAATTTTTAAATCAAATTTTGCAGCAGCAAATTAAAATTGCTTTTATACTTTTGCTGCAGTTCGAAAGGCTGCAGCGCATGCAAAATTTGCAAAAAAATAAAAGAAATGAATTTGCAATTAAATAATTAAATACAATTAAACATAATTAAATATAATTAAATATAATTAAACATAATTAAACATAATTAAATATAATTAAATATAATTAAACATATTTAAACATGATTAAATATAATTAAATATAATTAAACATAATTAAACATAATTAAATACAAATAAATAAAATTAAATACAATTAAATACAACTAAATACAATTGAATACAGCTAAATACAACTAAATACAATTAAATACAATTAAATACAATTAAATACAATTAAATACAATTAAATATAATTAAATACAATTAAATATAATGAAAAACAATTAAATACAATTAAATATAATTAAATATCTTCAAACTTTATCAAAAGAGAGGCAAATGCATGCGCATGCATGCGCTGCATTTTTGTCTGCAAAAAGACTCCAAGAGGGTCAAATTGTTTTTATTTTTTGAATAAAATAAAATTAAACTTTTTAAAAACATTTATAAAACTTTTATAAAACAAAAAAAACAAAAAACGAACATTTTCAAAACGCATGCATTTTGCCGCAGCTGTACAGACACCCCAGCGCCCGCTGAGGTGTACAGACACCCCAGACAAGCCCCAGTTTATAATTAAATACGTTTTCATTTGTTTATTTATTTATTTATAATTAAATGCGTTTCATTTTATTTATTTATTTACAGTTAAATGCGCTTTCTTTTATTTATTTATTTATAATTAAATGCGTTTTCTTTTATTTATTTACTTACAATTAAATTCGTTTTATTTTATTTATTTACTTATAATTAAATTCGTTTTGTTTTATCTGTTTATTTATATTTAAATTCGTTTTGTTTCATTTATTTATTTATAATTAAATGCGTTTTCATTTATTTATTTATTTATAATTAAATGCGTTTTTATATTTAGATCTGCGCTTAAATAATGCAAACATAAATGCGAATACAAATATAAATATAAATATAAATATAAATATAAATATAAATATAAATACAAATATAAATATAAATATAAATATAAATATAAATATAAATATGCATTTAATTAGTAAATCCCTTTTGGCTGTGCTTCTTGTTTGCTTCTTTTAATGACTGAGACCTAAGTAACTGCTGCGCCTGCAGCAGCAGCAGCAGCAGCAGCAGCAGCAGCAGCAGCAGCAGCAACACTGAGCAGTGAATGGCAGCAGGCGGGGCCAGTGGGGCCCCACAGGCAGCTTGGGGGCCCAAGGGGCCCCCAGTTAGGCAACTTGACAGCCATGGAGGGCAGCAGCAGCAGCAGCAGCAGCAGCTGCTGCTGCTGCTGCTGCTGCTGCAGAAGCAGGTGACCACTGGTCACAAGCCCGGCTGCGCGGTGGCTGTTGCTGCTGCTGCCGCAGCAGCCGTTGCTGCTGCTGCTGCTGGGCTGCTGCTGCTGCAGTCTTTGGCTCCATTTGCTGCTGCTTTCGACAAATAAAGCAGCAAAAATATAAAACTTTTTAATTAATTTAATTTAAAATATTTTTCTTCTAAAGTAAGCCGGGGGCCCCAGACACACGCAGCAGAAGGCTGCTTTGGCGGGCCCCACGGGGCCCCCCAGCTCCCGCAGCAGCAGCAGCAGCAGCAGCAGCAGCCGCAGCAGCAGCAGCAGCAGCAGCAGCAGCAGCAGCAGCAGCAGCAGCAGCAGCACATTAGTAAGATATTATGAAAGCTGTGTATGGTCAGCTGCGTGAGCTGTCTGTACACCTCAGCTTGTGGGCCTCCCGTCCCGCCGGCTTCTGCGGCGAAGCATTTTCTGAAAAGAATTTAATTAAACATTTTAATTATTTATAAAATGTTTTTTTAATTTATATTCTGGATTGCACGGCCTTTCGTGCTGCTGCAGCAGCAGCAGCAGCAAGTGCAGCATCAGCAGCGGCTACGCAGCAGCAGCAGCAGCGGCCCTCGCTGCAGCAGCTCCGCCTTTACCCACTTTTGCCTTGCAGCAGCAGCAGGCCCTTTTAGTGCTGCTGCAGACCTCCATGGTCTTCTTAGAAGCAGCACTCCCCCAGCAGCAGCAGCAGCAGCAGCAGCAGCAGCAGCAGCAGCAGCAGATTGGGGCCTCTGATGAATCGGCGGCGCCGCCACTCAACTGCTGCAGGGGTGTGGGGCCCCTCTGCAGACAGCAGGGGCCCCTCTTTAGGCCAGAGGCCCTTGCGAGAGTCCCGGGGGCCCCCGGGGGGCCCCCCTAGGGGCCCCCCTAGGGGCCCCCCTAGGGGCCCCCCGGGGGGGCCCCCTGGGGGCCCCCCGGGGGGCCCCCCTGGGGGCCCCGGGGGCCCCCCCTTCTGTAGGTCGGGGGGGGCCCCTCAGTTTGAAAGAAGGGGCCCCCCAGGGGAGGACTGGGGGCCCCCAAGAGAGGTCAGGGGCCCCCCAGATTTGCTGCATAGGGAGGCTGGGGGGCCCCCCGAGGGGCCCCCCAGGCGGCTGTACCCTATTCTGAGGGGCCCCCCAACTCAGGGGGAAGGGGGGCCCCTCTGGCGGCCCCCAGCGAAGAGGGGGCCCCCTGCAGATGAGGGGCCCCCCCTGCGGCTCTGCTCTGCAGCAGCAGCAGCAGAGGAGCAGCAGCAGCAGCAGCAGCAGCAGCAGCAGCAGCACAGGAGGCGGGTGATTCTACAGGAGTCCCCCAGAGCTGCTGCAAGGGGCTCCCATAGTCGTGCTGCTGCACCTCGCGGAGAGGCAGAAGCAGCAGCAGCAGCAGCAAGAAGTGCTGCAGCAGCAGCAGGGGATGCAGCTGCTGCAGCTGCTGCAGCTGCTGCAGCAAACAGCAAAGCTGCAGCGCTCAGGGAAGCAGCAGCAGCGCAGCAAACGCGACAAGCCAAAAGGGAAGCAGCAGCAGCAGAAGCAGCAGATGCTGCTGCTGGCAGCAAGAGGAGGGAAGTGTCCCGAAGAGTTGTTGCAGCAGCAGAGTATGCAGCAATAACAGCAGCAGCAGCAGCAGCAGCACCAGATGAAGCAGCAGCTACAGCAGCAAAGCGAGCCGCAGCAGCAGCCACGAAGTCCGAAGCAGCAGCAGCAGAAAACGGGCCAGCGGAGATTAATAGAAATACAGGGGCCCCGAAAGCAGCAGCAGCAGCAGCAGCAGACGTGCCTGCTGCTGCTGCTGCTGCTGACACTAAAGCCAGCCCAGCAGCAGCAGACGTGCCTGCTGCTGCTGCTGCTGACACTAAATCCAGCCCAGCAGCAGCAGCCGCTGCAGCAGCAGCGCCAGAACAAGCGGCAAATGAAGCAGCAGCAGCAGCAGCAGCAGCAGCAGCAGACACATTAGCAGAAGGAGCTGCTGCAACGGACAGTCGCGCTGCAGGGACAGAAGGGGCTGCTGGTGGGCCAGCAGCAGCAGCAGCAGACAGAGCAGCAGCAGCAGCAGCAGACAGTACAGGAGCAGCAGCAGACAGAGCAGCAGCAGCAGCAGCAGACAGTGCAGCAGCAGCAGCAGACAGAGCAGCAGCAGCAGCAGCAGACAGTGCAGCAGCAGCAGACGGTGCAGCAGCAGCAGACGGTGCAGCAGCAGCAGACAGAGCAGCAGCAGCAGCGGGAAACCCTGCTGCAGCAGCGGGAAGCCCTGCTGCAGCAGCGGGAAGCCCTGCTGCAGCAAGCAGCGTAGCAGCAGCAGAAGCTCCGCCCTTGACAGCAAGGCGAACTGTTGTGCTGGCCTCTAGAGCTCCAGCAGCAGCAGCAGCAGCAGGAGCAGCAGCAGCAGCAGCAGCAACAGAGTCACCTGCTGCTGCTGCTGCTGCTAGTACTGCTGATGCTGCTGACTGCGCCACACCGTGTGCAGCTGCAACAGCTCCAACAGAAGCAGCAGCAGCAGCAGCAGCAGCAGCAGAGACCTCACCAGGTGCAGCAAAAGCAGCACGATCAGCAGCAGCAGCAGCAGAAGCAGAAAGTCCCGTTGCGCTGGGTCCTGCAGCAGCAGCAACAGAGACACCAGCTGCAGCCACACCATCTCCATCATCTCCAGCAGCAGCAGCAGCAGCAGCAGCAGCAGCAGCAGAAGCAAGTGCACAAAGGCCTGCTGCAGTTCGCCGCAGGAGATGTGGCTGGAGCGATGCAGCAGCAACAGCAGCAGCAGCACAAGAAGCAGCAGCACCTGCAGCACGAGGAGCACCGATGCGGGAAGCTGCAGCACCGGCAGCAGCAGCAGCAGCAGCAGCAGCAGCAGCAGCAGAATCTCCAGTAGCAGTGGCAGCAGCAAAACCAGCAGCAGCTGCTGCGGTAAGCGTTACAGGGCTAGGGGTTTTCGTGTGTGCAGCCAGCAGGGTTTATAGCCTAGAATCGAGGGTTTAGGGTTTAGGGTTTAGGGTTTAGGGTTTAGGGTTTAGGGTTTAGGGTTTGGGGTTTGGCTGCACTGCGCCTTAGAGAGGTTTCGAGCGAGGCGACCGGAGATTTGTGGTTTGTGATTTGAGCCGATATAAAAAAGGCGAGGTTAGTCTTTGCTGCTGCTGCTGCTGCTGCTGCTTCTGCTGCTGCTGCTTCTGCTGCTGCGGCTGCTGCTGCTGTTGCTGCTGCGCTGTGGGGTGCTACAGCAGCTATGCTGCTGCTGCGCTTCCTTGCTAAGGGCTGCTTTTGCTGCAGTTGCTGCTGCTGGAGCAGCAGCAGCTGCCGTTGCTGCTGCTGCGCGTCTCCTCCTTCCACAGCTGCTTACAACCGCTCTCGCTGCTGCTGCTGCTGCTGCTGCTGCTGCTGCTGCTGCTTTATAGATTGGCTTTCGGTGGCCCACGGCGGAAGAAGCAGCAGCAGGCAAAGGGTCCCGTGTCTGTGGGGGCAGCAGCTGCCGCACGCAGCAGAAGCAGCAAGAAGCAGCAGCAGCATTGCAGCTGCTGCAGCAGCAAATTGCTGCAGCACGAAAGGAGCGGGGGCTGCCGGACATGGACTTCCTCCGTGCTGCGCTGCTGCAGTGCAGCAAGGAGGCCAAAGCAGCAGCAGCAAACGTGGACACGCTGCGAGCAGCAGCAGCAGCTGCTGCTGCTGACGCCAGATCTGCTGCCTTTGCTGCTGCAGCAGGAAAAGCCAACGACGACCCCAGCAGCAGGCGGCTGGCTGACGCTGCAGCACGTGCTGCGTCGCGTGCTGCTGCTGCTGCTGCTGCTCTGGAGGACGCCACGAAAGCTGCTGCAGCAAAGGCAGCAGCAGCAGAAGAAGCCGAAGCAGCAGCAGCAGCTGCTGCTGCTGGCACCCCCGCTATTGACTTGACGCAAGACCATAAGATGCGGCGGCTGCTGGAGCAGCAGCAGGAGCTGCAGCAGCAGCAGCAGCTGCTGCAGCAGCTGCGCACTTACCAGCTGCACTTCCGCTACACAGAGGCGGGAAAAGCCAAAGAGGTGGGCAGCACCGTTGCTGCTGCTGCTGCTGCTGCTGTTGCTGCTGCTGCTGCTGCTCCTGAGGCTGCTTTGGGGGTGTTTGATGGGCTCGCGCTGCTGCTGCACCTTCTCCTGCTGCTGTTCCCTGTGCACTCCGCCGCAGCCGCCAGCGCTACTGCTGCTGCTGCAGTTGCTGCTGCTGCTGCTGCTGCTGCTGCTGCTGCTGCAGGCGCTGGTGCAGTGCCGCGTGTGCGTCCGCTGCGCCTTCAAGCTTAACTATGACGCGCTGCGGAAGGAGAGCCGCAGAGAAGCAAAGCGGCGGCGGCTGGAGCAGCAGCAAAGGCGGCTGCAGCAGCAGCTGCTGCTGCTGCAGCGAAGGCGCAGCTGCAGCAACAGCAGCAGCAGCAAAGGCCGAGGCTCCCGGCAAAGCAGGTCAGCTTTTCGGGGTGTACGTACACCCCAGCTGCACGGCGAGACACTGCGCGTCAGCAGCAGCAGCAGCATTGGCAGCAGAAGCAGCAGCAGAGGAGCTGCTGAGGCGCTTGTGCTCAGCAGCAGCAGCAGCAGCAGCAGCAGCAGCGACTCCGGAGATTCTGTTGTCTTTAAAGGTGAAGCAGAAGCCCCCAGAAAGAGGAAGGGCTCAGCCAGAACTGCTGCTGCTGCTGCTGCAGAAACAGCAGCGCCAGAAGCAGCAGCAGCAGATGTACTCTCTGATGCAGCAGAAGAAAACCCGGAAGAGCAGCCAGCAGCAGCAGCAGCTGCTGCAGAAGCAGCAGAAGCAAATGCGCCCAGTGCTGCTGCAGCAAAAGGACGAGAGCTTGCTCGCAGGCGCAGCAGCAGCAACAGCGCCACGGGGAAACCGAAGCAGCAGCAGCAGCAGCAGCAGCAACAACAGCCGCCGGAGGAACAGGAGGAGAAGCAACAGCCTCAGCAACAGCAGCAGCAGCAACAGTCGCTGCAGGAGCAGCGGAAGCAGCAACAACCGCAGCAGCAGCAGCAGCAACAACAGCAGCAGCAACAGCAGCAGCAGCAGCAACAGCAGCAGCAGCGGCAGCAGCTCCAGAGAACGCGGCGGCTGCCAGCAGCGTTTGGCAGAAGCGTCAGCCGCACAGTCAGCAGAAGCATCAGCAGGAGCCTCAGCAGCTGCCGCTTCAACAGCAGCAGCAGCAGCAACAGCAGCAGCAGCAGCAGCAGCAGCAGCAGCAACGAAGTCAGGGACAGTCAACGAGAGAGAAGAAGCAGTGCAAAGCCAGTGGCGGCGCCACGCCGCAGAAGCAATTCGCCCTTGAGCCGCAGCCGCGAGAGCAGCAGCAGCAGCAGCAGCAGCAGCAGCAGCAGCAGCAGCAGCAGCAGCAGTAGCAGCAGTAGCAGCAGCAGCAGCAAAAGGTTGCAGTCGCAGCCAAGCACTAGCAATAACGGCAGCAGGGATAGACATAGGGACAGCAGCAGCAGCAGCAGAGTTGACCCCAGGAGCAGAAACAGATATATGTACTACTACAACAGCAGCAGCAGCAGCAGCAGCAGCAGCAGCAGATATCCGCCCTACAGCAGCAGCAGCGACAACAGATATCAGCCCTACAGAAGCAACAGCCGAAACAGGTACCTGCCTGCCAGCAGCAGCAGCAGCAGCAGCAGCAGGTACTTGCCTTACAACAGCAGCAGCAGCAGCAGCAGATACTCGCCGTGGAGCAGCAGCAGCAGCAGACGCCCTGAGTACTCCAGATTTTACTACAGCTCGGAAGACAGAAACCGAATGCCGCAACGAAGCAGCAGCAGCAGCAGCAGCAGCAGCAGCAGCAGCAGCAGCAGCAGCAGATACACGCTGCGGGCAGCAAGAAATGAGCAGCAGCACAGACGCAACAGAAGCCGCAGCGGCAGCAGCAGCCCACCGCTGCGGCGTTCAGGTGTACGTACACCCCAGAAGACACAGAGGCCTGCAGCAGCAGCAGCAGCACCTGCTGCTGCTGCTGCTGCTGCTGCTGCTGCTGCTGCTGACAGGTGCCCAAGGGAGGCTTCGTACAGGAGGGAGACAGCAGCAGCAGATGGCGAGAAACACAGCCGTACCCAAGAAGCAAAAGAAAGAGGAGCAGCAGCAGAGGCTGCTGCTGCTGCTGCTGCTGCTGCTGCGGTTGCCGCTGCGGAGGAAGCAGCAGCAGAAGAAGCAGCAGCTGCTGCAGCAGAAGAGGAAGCAGTTGTTGCAGCAGCAGACGCAGAAGCTGCTGCTGCATGCGGCAGCTTAGCCTTCGAAAGGGCCAGGAGTGTTTCGCTTAGCGCTGCATCTCCAGCTGTGCACTAGTTACCGCAACAGCAGCAGCAGCAGCAGCTGCTGCTGGTGCAGCAGCAGCAGCAGCTGTTGTTGTTGCTGCTGCTGAAGCTTTCGGTGCTGCAGCGCTTTTTGCTGGAGCCCAGGAGTGACTTTGGAGCTGGCTACTCGTGCCATGCTGTTTGCTGCTGCAGCAGCTGCTGCAGTCAGCAGCAGCAGCAGCAGCAGCAGCAGCTCGCTGCTGCTCCTGCGGGAGCGGCTGCTACTTTAGCTTTTGTAACATGCAGCTAGCTAGCAGCTAGCCAGCAGCTAGCCAGCAGCTAGCCAGCAGCTAGCTGGTTATTAGCAGCAGGACTCCACCCTTGCTGGAAGCCCTTCACTACTCGAGCTAGAAATGCCTAATTAACAGCAGCAGCAGCAGCAGCAGCAGCAGCAGCAGCAGCAAGAGCAGGATACACTTCTATGCAGTCAAGATACAAAAATTGGCCGCCGGCGCCGCAGCAGCAAGTCACTGCAGCCGGCTTTGAAACGGGA